CGTCCACTGATAGGCGACGCGGAAGGTATTAAACTGATCAGAACAATACTAAACACACCACAAATAAGTTTTCTCTCCTGTATGGCTCCTCAAATGATGCTTAAGATTAGAAGGGGCTGAAAAGCATTTCTCACACTCCGAACAAAAATATATTTTTTTAACATTCTCTCCACTTTGAACGAAATGACGTTTGGGAAGAGATTAACATAATTAAACACAGGCAGTAAAAATACAGTTTTTAGCCATACCCTGTAACTTTAAAACTACACATCCCATCTTCTTAATTACATATTTGGAATCAGCACACTTAAAACATAAACATAACCAAAAATCAGCCAAATCCATCCAGGGGTTAAAGAGTTAGCTGGAGGTCCCTTTATGACCGACGGCAAGCACATTTTCCTGCCCAAAACAGTTCCATAGATTTGGGCTGTGAGTTCGGTCTATTTCAGGCTGAAAAAAAGACTAAGTCCCATCGCCGAATGGGACTTAGTCTCTGCAGCTGAAATAATTTCCCATTTACTGAACCAAGTGGGAAATAGCAAGGCAGGCACAAAGGGTTTGCACCAGGTCTGGGGACACAGGGGACACCGTCTTAAAGGGGCCGTGTCCCCAACAAGTCTGGGGACACGGCCTTAAAGGGGCAGTGTCCCAATCTTCCTGATGTCCCAAAAAAGGTGTTTAAAGGGCCAGCACCAGTCACATAAAGAGTCCATAAGCCCCAATATGCCCACCGACAGTCTTAAAGGGCCATACACACCAAATAAAAGTGCATACATTTTCACAATCTCCCAGGGGCCATAGTCATGCGGGAGGAGGCTGGCAAAGAGGCTTCTCCACAACCCAGGGAAACAGGGCAATTTGCCATTTAAAGGGCCCGTTACAAATAGCAGTTTGTAACAAGGTGTCAATCCATATCTGCCAAGTGACCCATGTAGGGGGACCAGTCCCTATTCTGCTCTGTGTCAGTGTGTATCAGGGAACCTTAGGACAGGTGTCAATCCATATCTGCCAAGTGACCCGATGTAGGGGGAACAGTCCCTATTCTGCTCTGTGTCAGTGTGTATCAGGGATCCTTAGGACAGGTGTCAATCCATATCTGCCAAGTGACCCTATGTAGGGGGACCAGTCTCTATTCTGCTCTGTGTCCGTGTGCATCAGGGGCTCTGAGGACAGGTGTCAATCCATATGTCAAGGTGTCAATATATCATATGTCAGGTGTCAATCCATATTGATTGTGATTTAGGAATGTTAGGTGATTTCTGCCCTTTATGGATTAAAACCAGACTCTGTATCAACTGTGTAATTTTCCATGGGAGTTTTGCCATGGATCCCCCTCCGTCATGCCACAGTCCAGGTGTTAGTCCCCTTGAAACAACTTTTCCATCCCTATTGTGGCCAGAAAGAGTCCCTGTGTGTTTTAAAATTCGCCTCCCCATTGAAGTCAATGGCGTTTTGGGCGGTTCGCCGGTTCGCGAACATTTGCGGAAGTTCGCGTTCGCCGTTCGCGAACCGAAAATTTCGGGTTCGCGACATCACTAATTAGAAATAAACAGTATGGTTTTATGAAACACAGGTCATGTCAAACTAACCTAATTGCATTCTACGAAGAAGTAAGTAGAAGTATAGATCAGGGTGTTGCAGTGGATGTGATCTACTTGGATTTTGCCAAGGCATTTGATACGGTTCCTCACAATAGGTTAGTCTTCAAACTAAAAGAAATTGGTCTAGATGAATATTCTTGTTCTTGGGTAGAACATTGGCTTAAGGATAGAGTACAACGAGTTGTAATTAATGGTACATTTTCAGGATGGACAAAAGTGGTAAGTGGTGTCCCTCAGCGTTCTGTTTTGGGACCATTTCTATTTAACATATTTAAAAATTGTCTTTTTTTTTTTTCAGTTTTTCTTTATTTCGTAAAGACAAGTTATGGGGTACAGAAAAGAAGAGGGAAGCATTCTGTTGTTACAAATCAGGGTTATATAACAATATGTGCATATAAATATACTTCCATCCTTGCCTGATTCTAAGACAAACCCGGCTACAGTTAACTTTAGATCTATTGCATCATCTTGAGTAACGTCTTGCGGATGGTGCTGTTGTCTTTGACTAAGACCTATGGGGGGGTTAAGAGGTAACTCGGGGTAGCAACCAGTCGGAGGGGTTGGGGAGTAATGGGGAGTGGACTGGGGAGGGGGTCGAAAGGGGGACCTGCCTGGTGTGGTGGGTAATCATGGTCCTTGTGTTGGTTGTGTATTCGGTAGTGTCTATTGGCTCATTTCCTGGATCTCTAGGTGGTCAATCTAGGAGAAGGGGTGGTCTTTTCCCCTGGGGCTGTATTCCAGAACCCTATCCAGGGCTCCCATCTCTGGAGATATTTCTGTCGTTTCCCTATTGAGGTCCAGTGGATGTCTTCTAGTTCTCTGGTTCGTTCTACCCTTTGTACCCACTGTTCTACAGATGGGGTGTTGGTATTCCGCCAGTTTAGCGGGATAAGGGCGTTTGCTTCCCCTAGTAATAGGTGTAGCAGTTGTTGTTTGTGGGGTTCCGTAAATGTGCGGGGCCAGCTTAGTAGTACTTGGGATGGTGTAAGTCGGGTCGGAGGTTTAAGTATCCTGGTTATTTTGGCTAGTATTAGGTGCCAGAAACCCTGAATGTCTCGGCAACTCCACCAAATATGTTCTATAGTTCCCAGCCCGGTGGAGCATCTCCAGCATATGTTACTGATTGATGGCCATATTGAGTGTAGTCGGGTTGGGGTCCTGTACCACCTGGTGATTCTTTTATAGAATGTCTCCCTGTGTGCTACACTGGTTGGGGTTTTGATTCCCATTTCCATGATCCCTGGCCAGTCTTTGTCAGAGATATGAATTCTGAGATCTTTCATCCAATTCTGTTGAAAGGATAGTGGTTTGTGTTCCTCCACTGAGCTCTGGAGGATGCGGTAGACTTTAGATAAAGGGCGTCTGGGGTCTCCCTCTGGGCCACAGAGGTGTTCAAAGGGCGTGTCTGCTCTCTGTTTCCAGAGGGGAATAGCGGTTCTTTTCAGGAAGTTCCTGAGTTGGGCTTTGCCTATCACCTCAATGAATGTGTCTTGTCTATGTGGTCCATATATGGCCTTGACCGTGGGTGGGTCTCCCCCTATCAGTTCGGTTATGTCCGGGGTGGGCGTTCCCACAAGGTGAGAAAGGAGTGGTCCCCCTCCACCTCCCTGAAAATCAGGATTGTCTGCTATGGGGAAGAACCTTGACAGTCCCGGTGACAGTCTCCATTGGTCTTTATGTCTTCTCCATATTGTGAGGACATTGTGTATGAGTGGGTGTCGTGTCGTGGTGAGTTTCGGTAGGCTGCATATTTGCCACGGCAAGGTGTGTAGGGGGACAGGTGTAAAGCTCTGTTCTAATGTGTACCACGACTTTTTCCTTTTGGTGTCTGTCCATTCCTTTAGTCGGGTGAGCAAAACTGCAACATAATATTTGTATAAGTGGGGCAGTCCCAGGCCCCCCCTGTCTGTGGTGGAGGTTTGTGTGGTGAGAGCTATCCTTGCTGGTTTGTTGCCCCAGATGTATTTGGTGAAAATTGTCCGCATCTGTCTGAAGAATGTCTCTGGGAGAGGGACCGGTAGGGCCTGAAAGAGGTATAGTATTTTCGGGAGAATCATCATTTTCAGGATGCTGACTCGTCCCATCAGGGAGAAGTAAGGTTGGTCCCATTTTTGGAGGTCTCGTTTAATCTTGTCTATAAGGGGGGGATAGTTTAGTTTGTATAAGGTCATGGGTGATGCGGTGAGTAGTATCCCCAAGTATGTCAGTCCTGTCCGAGTCCATGGGAAGGTATGTCTTTGTTGGATTCGTGTTTTCAGGGACGGTGGTACAGCTATTCCCAGTATTTCGCATTTGTCAGCATTTATCTTAAAGTTCGAGAGGGAACCAAAGGTGTCGATCTCGTTTGTTATGTGTGGTAGTGATTTGGTCGGGTCTGTGAGCATGAATAGGACATCGTCCGCAAAGGCGGATACCTTCACCTCCCCTCCCTGAAATCTATATCCCCGTATTTCAGCGCGAGACCTGATTGCGTTCAGGAAGGGCTCCATGGCCAAGACAAATAACAGGGGCGAGAGGGGGCAGCCTTGTCGGGTACCGTTGCTTATCGGAAACGGCGTCGATAGGTGGCCGTTTACTCTAACACTGGCTGAGGGTCCCCTATACAGGGTTTGTATCCAATTCCTCAGTCTTGGGCCCATCCCCAATATTTCTAGGACTGTAAATAAGTAAGACCAATCCACCCTGTCGAAGGCCTTTTCAGCGTCAATAGCCATCAGCAGAGTAGGTGTTTTAGTCACCGTTGCTCCATGGATGACATTTAGAATTTTCGTGGTATTATCCCTAGCTTCGCGGCCTGGCACAAAGCCCGCTTGGTCAGGGTGGATTAGGTGCGGTAAGAGGGGTTTAAGCCTGTTGGCGATCATCTTTGCCATTAGTTTGAGGTCTAGATTTATTAGTGAAATGGGTCTATAACTGCCACATTTAGTGGGGTCTTTGCCCGGCTTGGGGATGATAGTGATAGATGCCCGTAGCATCGGGGGTGGGAGGGGGGTGTCTTGGGTTAGGCCATTTAATGTTTTCAGAAAGTGGGGGGATAGTTCTTGCGAGAGTGTTTGATAGTATCTGGCGGTCAGTCCGTCTGGGCCGGGGCTTTTACTTTTCGGCAGTGCCTTAATCGTGGCGAGTAGTTCCGTTTGTGTGAATGGTTCATCTAATGTGTGTATTTGGTCATCTGGGATCTTGCGTGGCAGGTTTGCCGAGATGTATTCCCTCAGGTTGTGGTTCTGTGTTTTTGGGGGGGATAGGTTATAAAGGTTTGTGTAGAAAGCGTTGAACGCCTTGGCTATATCTTCTGTAGTGTTGTGTTGCCTACCTGTGTCATCCGATATTTTGTCTATGAACGATCTCTGCCGTTTGGCTTTCAAGGCTCTAGCTAGTAGTTTCCCACTCTTGTTACCATGAGCATAAAAGGTGCTCCTTGTCAGTTGAGTGGATCTATATGCCTTTGCGGTTAGTAGCGATCTTAATTCTATGCGTAGGGCTGTTAGCTTCTGGAAGTTATCATTTGTGGGATCTTGTTTGTGTGTGGTCTCGGCTAAGTGCATGTCTGCTATGAGAGAGTCCATTTTGAGGGTCCGTTCTTTCTTGATTCTAGAGCCCCATTTGATAAGAGTGCCTCTGATAACTCCTTTATGGGCTTCCCACACCCAGGGGTCTGATACCTCAGTATTCCCATTCTCTAAGAAATAGTTTCCTGCCGTCTGTCGCAGGTCGTCTAGAACTCTGGGGTCATCAAGTAGGGTTTCGTTAAGTTGCCAGTGTGTCGTGGGTTTGGGTTCTCTCTGGAGGGTGACCATCAGGAAAATTGGAGCGTGGTCAGACCACGTGGTATTGCCTATGGATGCGTCTTTTAGTAGTGGGAGATGTCTGTGGCTAAGTAAAAACATGTCTATTCTGGAGTAGCTTTTGGCTGCCTGAGAATAAAACGAGTAGTCTCTGTCTTGGGGGTGTAGTATACGCCAGCAGTCTACAAGCTGGTGAGTACGTAAGGCAGTCGAAAATAGTGTTCTTTGGTGTTGCTTAGGGTCCGAGGATAGAGAGGAGCTATCCAATGCGTGGTCTAATACCATATTCCAGTCCCCGCCTACTAAGACTACCCCCTCCGCAAATGCGTCCAGTTTAGTCAAACATGACCGTATGTAGGATACTTGGTCAGCGTTGGGGGCATATATGCTTGCTAGCATTATGAGGGTACCGTTATATACTCCTTTAACAAATACAAATCTGCCTCTAGGGTCAGTTTTAACCCCCGTTTCTGTGAACGCAGCATTGGAGGCTAGTAATATTGCCACCCCTCTGGTTTTCTTTTGCGTATTATTACTATAATAGGCTATATTGTTTTGTTTGGAGTGAATTTTTGGTTTGAACTCTCCCTTAAAGTGTGTCTCCTGTATGAAGATTATTTCGGCTCCCTGTCTGTCTATTTCTTGTGCTAGCATCGTGCGCTTCATAGGTGAGTTTAGTCCCCGTACATTTAGGGACATTAGTTTTGTATATATCATGGTGGTGGATCCAGCAGTAGAAGCATATTTAATGAGTCAAGGGTCATACCCGTGAATGATGTGCTTAGTAGTGTTGTGGTGGCAGGGTTGGTACCTGGGGGGGGAGCTGGGGAAAAACAAAAACTATTTACATAGGGTTGAGATGAGAGGTTCATCTCAGGTGGTGAGATTGGCGCTGCACTTGTGGGTAGCTCAACGGGGCGCCTCTCTGGGGGGTGGTGGTTGGATCTCCCGACCGGGGGCATCCAGGGGTTCCAGCGGGGCAATCATGAATGTCATACATTTACCCCTCCCCCACCTTATCAGGGGGGTTATGGGGTATGCGGTGAGAGCGACCTCGGTGTAAGCCCCGTGGACCCGGTCTCCTGAGGCCCTAAGGTTGAATAACGTTTCTAAAATCCTAATGCAGGGCCCTAGAGCCCGGTAGCGGCTACTAATGCCATTTTTTTTAAATAAAACATAATATAGCATAGCAGTGTAACATTGATTACATAGTGTAGAGCGTATTTAGTTGCATTGGCATGGCCTTTTAAGGTAAACGTATCTGGCATAATATCGACAGAAGGAAAGAGGAATAGCAGATATATACATAAGTGAAACATATGGAACATGAGTGTGCGCTTATACGACCGTAACAGTTCTCAGGTTGGTTCTTCTCTAGTTGGAACGCTTAGGTTGGTACCGGGGTGGTTCTGCCTGCGCCTTTTCCTCGGGGATTTTTGCCATTTGGGCTTTTGTGGGGTCTGTCTTGACGGGTTGGTTGCCAGCCCTGTCCAGTCTTCCACTTAGGACGGTGGGAGTTTGAGTGCCCTCTGGAAGTCAGGAACGTCCTCTGGTGAGGTAATAGTGTGGGTTTTGTTCTGGAGGTTGACTGTCAGTGCAAACGGGAAGTTCCATCTGAACTTTATTTGTCTCTCTAGCAAGGCCTGTGTGATAGGCCGCAAGGCTCGTCTTGCTTGTAACGTGGATGGAGCCAGGTCTTGAAAGATCGTTACCGGTTGGCCGTCTATCGTTAGATCTTTGTTTTGGCGGGCTTTACGGAAGATTTCTTCCTTTAAGGGGAAGTTGTGAATGCGACAGATGAGGTCTCGTGGTTTATCTGGAGGGAGGTTTCTGGGCCTAGCTGCCCTGTGAGCCCTGTCAAAGGTGATGGCTGTGTCTTTAGGTCTGGCTAGGATGCGGTTAAAGAGGGTGGTTAGAACCTGTATGGGGTTTTCTGTTACACCCTCCGCGCTTTCCGGGATTCCCCTCACCCGTAGGTTGTTTCGGCGTCCCCTGTTGTCTACATCGTCCAGCCTCCTTTATAGGTACCTTATTGCCTCTGCATGTGTTTCCTGGGTGTCATAGGCTTCAGCCCCTCTTTTGTTGATGTGTTCTGCCTCCTCCTCTAGGTCTTGTACTCTGGCTCCAAGCTGTTGCACGTCCGCTGCCACTGCCTGCAGTTTCTCACTGAAGCTGTCCTCCAGTTTCTGGAACATCGCTGCCAGGTCTGCTTTTGAGGGCAGTTGTGTTAGCAGGGTCCGGATTTCTTGATCCTCAGTGGAACCCTCTGATGCCGTCGGGCTTGATGGCTGGCTCCCGCGTGTTTGTGCTGCGGGCGCCATTTTGTCCCGTCTGTGCGGGTCAGCCTGTTCGGCGAAGTACCTTCTCAGGGAGGTTTTTGCTGCCGGGGTGTCAACTGCTGGGGCTTGCCCCGTTGTGTTACGCTGTTTTTTTAGCTGCCATTCTGGGTATATTGGGTCGCTTTCCCCCTTTATCTCCCGGTCGGGATCCGGAGCTCACCGCTCATGCGACCATGTCCTCCGGCTTCCTGGCCACGCCCCCCTAAAAATTGTCTTGAAATAGGCATTGAAAGCCATGTATCAGTGTTTGCAGATGACACAAAACTTTGTAAAGTAAAATGTGAGCAGGATATTGCTTTGCTGCAGAGGGATTTGGATAGATTGGGGGACTGGGCACTAAAATGGCAGATAACATTTAATGTAGAGAAATACAAAGTTATGCACTTCGGGGTTAAGAATGCACAAGCAACTTACATACTAAATGGTAGTGAATTAGGGATAACCACACACGAGAAGGATTTGGGAATTGTTATAGACAACAAATTAGGCAGCAATATGCAATGTCAATCTGCAGTTGCTAAGGCCATTAAGGTTTTGTCATGTATAAATAGGGGCATAAATTCTCGGGATGAAAATATAAATTTTGCCGCTTTATAAATCGCTGGTAAGACCACACCTTGAATATGCTGTGCAATTTTGGGCGCCTGTTCTAAAGAAAGATATCATGGCACTAGAAAAAGTCCAGAGACAAGCTACAAAATTGATAAAAGGAATGGAGCATTTTAGTTATGAAGAAAGGTTAAAACTTAAATCTGTTTTAGTTTGGAAAAACGGCACCTGAGAGAGGATATGATAACTTTATACAAATATATTCGGGGCCAGTACAAACCTTTATAAGGAAATCTATTCATAAACAGGGCTATACATAGGACACAAGGTCACACATTTAGGCTGGAAGAAAGGAGATTTCATCTAAGGCAAAGAAAAGTTTTTTTTTTTTTACAGTAAGAGTAATAAGGATATGGAACTCTCTGCCTGAAGAGGTGGTTTTGTCAGAGTCACTACAGAGGTTTAAACTGCAATTGGATAAATACTTACAAAAACATAACATACAGGGATATCATTTCTAATTAGTGCTTGATCCAAGGAGACATCTGACTGCTATTTTGGGGTCAAGAAGGAATTTTTCCAAATTTGTGGCAAAATTGGAAGCGCTTCAGACTAGGTTTTTTCGCCTTCTTTTGGATCAACAGCAACAACATATGTGAGGAAGGCTGAACTTGATGGACGTAAGTCTCTTTTCAGCTATGTAACTATATAACGTACCAAAGAATAGTCAGGAATAGCCGAGGTCAAGGGACACAGAAAGAGACACAACAATTAGGAAAAGCCAGGGTTCAGGGATGCCAGAAAACAGGGAAGTCAAAATCAATGCCAAAGTCGAATAACCAGAATCAATAACGCGCTCTAAGGAAACCACGACAAGACACTGAGCAAGAGGAGAACTGGGCCTAAATACCCCACCTGTGGTTCTGATTGGTTGTAACCGGCCTTTGACCCCAAAGGCAGTTACCATGTTCCTATTTGCATGATTGCTGCTCAGCACAAACCCTCCTGTGGATTAATTGCTGCTCGGCACAACTTTTCCTGTCAGAACAGCAAATGCCATTAATCACATTTTTACGTGCAGATGAATACTTGACAATAGCTGAGCAACCTATTAAAGTGACACTATAGTCACCAAAACAACTTTAGCTTAATGAAGCAGTTTTGGTATATAGATCATGCCCCTGCAGCCTCACTGCTCAATTCTTTGCCATTTAGGAGTTAAATCACTTTGTTTATAAACGTTAGTCACACCTCCCTGCATGTGACTTGCACAGCCTTCCTAAACACTTTCTGTAAAGAGTCATCTAATGTTTATCCTTCCTTTATTGCAAGTTCTGTTTAATATAGATTTTCTTATCTCCTGCTATGTTAATAGCTTGTTAGACCCTGCAAGAGCCTCCTGTATGTGATTAAAGTTCAATTTACTGAGCAAGAGATAAAATTGTTTTAGATAAACTACATTTGGGGGGCGGGGCCTGACCGCCGAGCTGATCAAACACTAATCGGAGCAGCTCCTGCTGACTGAGGCCACGATTGCAGCATAACTGCTTCAAAACTGCCTATATTCGAAAAATACAGCTACCAAACAAGTGGTGACATTAAGGGGCATCTAACGGTACCAAACATGCAGACCTAACTGCGATATCTCCCTGACCGTACTACGAGGCCTACAAGTATGGCAGGCGCGGGAGAAACTGGCGCTCTCCTGCCACCACACAAGGCTGGAAGGCTGACTATGGGCCCTCGTCCTCCCCCCTATGGACCAGCGGGGGTTCTCTCGGTCCCAGAAGGCTGCTCTCATGCTCTAATGCAACAACCCCAATGGCAACCCACTACTTCTGACATGGCGGAGCATCCACATGGGCCTCCTGCAAAAGCGCAGCCAAGCACTACACTCAACAGTATCAACGCCATCTTTGCAGCTTTTTGGCTTCGTCTGGAGATGAGACTGAGAGGCTCTCCCCTGCCAACACAATGTCCTTCATCTGCTAATGGCCCAGAGGGAGTCCCAACCGGGCAGACGCCCACCAAAGCAAAGATTCAGCGGAACACACATCAGCAGTCCCCTAAACCTGAGGCTGAAGGTCCTGTCAACCAACAAGGAGCTCCTGTAACTGGGATTGA